TAAACAGTTTAATCTTGAAGGAAAACTGTCACAAATTAAAAGCTTTTAAATTAAAAAGAAATAGCATGTGACAGTGTTGTTGGAGGAATTCATTTTTGAGAAATTAATAATTTTCTTGATGAATGAGAAGTGATGGAATAAGGCTGCAGGAGAAGAGGTGGTCTAATGTAAATATACTTCTGCTCACTCCTTTTGAGTGTATGAAAACTGTATATTTGTAATGTTTCTGTTACCTTCTGTTATGTTCAATATAACTTAGTAAAACTTATTACTAATACATCATTAAAACAAATAATTTCATCACTGTAAATTTCATTAAGACATTTCTTAAAGTTTAAAAATAATATTGGTAACAAAACTACACGATTTTGTTAGAATGTGGTCTTTAACGTGTTTAAACATGTTGGTGGGGAACAGTTCAGTCAGATATTTAAATACAGTAGTTTAGTTCGACCTCCTAAAGAGCTGCTCGTCAAACCCCTCTTCATTTCCTCTACCATGTAGGAGCACAAATCTTTACAAACAAAATTCGCCATGGTCTCTGTTGTCTTTAAGTTCTGTGAAGAGTCGGCTAGTAACGTTAGATTCCTTAGTTTCTTTTGTTTTGATCCAGACAACTTGTTATCGAAACCTAATGTTAGCACTGAACGTCAACATACATAAATATATGGCAAGGCAGGAGTGACAAACTATAGAAACGCATTTCAGACGTACGTACAAGACGCCATGGGGAAGAATCGATCACATGTCCTGTGAATCAATTTTCACAAATTTAAATGAAATTGATTCATGATGGATTTGTGATGGTTACAAACTTTGTGGTGCTTTGTCACCAACTGGTAAAGATTGTTAGGAAAGCCACCACAGTACCAGAACACTTTTATGAGTACAAGTACACGCACAGTATTAAAGAGGACCTATTATGCAAAATTCACTTTTTAAAGGTTTTTTTACTCAACTTTGGGTATGTACTTCTTAAAAAAACAGTCCTAGGACCAAAAAATGTACCCAGGGGTATATTTACTGTAAGTAAATGTATTTTTAATGTGTATTAACGAGAACTTTTATACTTCCGCCATTTTGTGATGTCACAAGCCGTACGATAGCCCACAGGAACCTGCGTTCAGGCCCTTATCTAGCAACCCCTGGGTGAAGCTCCTCCTCTTCCGTATCAAAAGCCGTCACGGTGTTGTGCAAAGCGCAGCTCATTTCACAACAAGCCTCCAATAGGGCAATGGGTAGAGTGTTGGACCAGAGAGTGGGAGGGTTTGAGACCGGCACGAACACAACTTAATTATTTATTTTCGTTCGTTATGAAAATGTTGTCATGTACCTCTATTTTTTATCTTATTAAAGCCTTGTTAAAGCCTATTTGTTCGAGTTTCTGAGGTATTTTCACTGCTGCTGCTCCCTGCTCTGGTAACAGCATGCAGAGTGAGCGCAGAGCAGAGGAGGGAGAGAAAAAAAAAGAAAGAAGCTGCGACCTACTCTACCTCTGGGTCTCACAGGGTCTCATATGGTTGTACAACGGAGCTTCTGCTATTATTAGCCATGCTAACGTAAACGCTGGCTTTGGAGGGTGGAGTTAATGTCAACAGATTTTTGGAGGGCGTTACCAACAGAGCTCATTAACATAAACAGCTCTTCTGAACYGAAGTCAGAGCAGGCAGAACTAGAAAATGGGAAATTTTATTATCTGAGAATTATTTTGTGCATTAAATTGAATGAATATGGTCTGGATAGCCCACATACATACCATAAAAATTTCTAGGACCCATAATTGGTCTCCTTTAAGCCGATACTGTTGTCGGTACCAGTGCCTCCCTATTCGCAGTGAATAATCATGAGTGAAAATGTTTCTTCAGGTGAGTCAAGACGGAAAAGCCCTGTTGGACAAGCTGCAGCGACCTTTGACCCCGGGCAGCACCGACTCGCTGACGGCGTCTGCCAACTACTCCAAGGCGGGGCACCACGTCCTCGACATCATCCACGAGGTGCTGCACCACCAGAGGCAGCTGGAGAACATCTGGCAGCACCGCAAAGTGCGGCTGCACCAACGGCTGCAGCTCTGCGTGTTTCAGCAGGACGTCCCGCACACACACACACACACACACACACACACACACACACACACACACACACACACACACACACACACACACACACACACACACACACACACACAGTGTTCTGCTGCTTATCTGCATCTAAACTGTGTAATTTTAGGGTCATCACAGACTTTTCTCTGTAAAACTCACATAGTAATTTGAAAATAACAGGTTAGCGTCGCGGGTGGAAGGATTTGAACTGAACAGACGGTTTGCTTGTGGCCGCAGTCATATTCTCTGAAGATAGATCCTGCAGGAACTTTCACTCCTCCTGCCACAGCTTTGAACAAGAATGTTAGATCATTCTCTGAAAAGTGAAGATTTTCTGCTGAGTAAACACTTGTTAAGACCCAGCTGTAAGAGTTGCAACATAATTGGAAACACGACACAAGATGCCAGTTTTAAACCTTTAGAAGGCCATTTAGTCTAGGAGTGTCTAGGAGTAAAAAACTGTGAGTTGGTGTCGCCCTCGGTGCTCCATACACTGGATGCACAGAGCGTCTGTCTCACCACCTGGACCACTTCAGCTGTGTGGTCCAGTGCCAGATCTGCCTCCACACCAAGGTCTCTGACTGGTCACTGTCCTGTCCACCGTCGTGCTCCCGGTAGACCTTCTTGTCCACCATTTAACAGCCTCTCTCGGAGTCGTCTCCTTCCAGAAGAAAGCTGTCGTTCTTGTCCTGGTCCGTGCGTCAACATTCAGTCAGTTCCAGCCTTTTTGCGCCACCAAGCCATCCTCGTACGCCACTTTGGTCCTTATGAAGATCACCTGCATGCTCCACACCTTCGTAGGAGTCCCGCTCTTTGACATCTTCAGATCCCAGCATACCTGATGCCTTTCCTCACACCAGCAATCACGACTTGGTTCCCCACTGCTCCTTCGGCTGCGCCATCTCGCTGCCTACCGAGCTGCTGCGCTTCAGCTGCTGACTCTGCTGCTCAGCTGTTCCTCCTCAGCAGCTCTTCTGTCACTTGTGCCAACGTCTACATCAACGTGTGTCTGTGTGCCTCTGCGTACTTCTGCTCACACATGCACTGCTGGCTGCTTAAGACCGCTCTGACTCCGCCTCCAACAGACCCGGAAGGTAATCAGGTAACAGGACGCACCTGCGAATGACAATTGACACATAGCAGGAGCAGGAGCGTCACAACACTGCAAAAAATAAATAAATAAATAAAAAAGGGAGCGTGCCACAATCAAATGATCCAATACGATAATACTGTTGCTGTCCAAAAATTATGGGCATTCCTGAGCGTGTTGACATGGCAACTGTTGCTGCGGCAACTGAACTGGGTCATATGTCCGTGCAGATGGTGTTTATTCATTCTCGCTATGAAGGACAAAGTGCAGAAATGTCTGTTTGTGAAGGCGGGCTCAGTGAAATGCATCCCACAATACAAATCCTTATTGATGTTATCACTTTGCTCTTACAGTTTTGTTTATGATAAACACACAGCTCCCACCTCACAGCGCCTCCCCCCGCTGGACGCCCACTCCTCGTCCATCTCATTTCGGTTTGTTTTGGTTCCAGGTTTTGGACTGGATAGAAAACCACGGCGAGGCCTTCCTCAGCAAACACACAGGGGTGGGAAAGTCCCTCCATCGAGCCCGAGCTCTTCAGAAACGCCATGAGGACTTTGAGGAAGTGGCTCAGGTAAGTTTTACTTCCTGTCTGCGTCATTCCACAGTATCAAAGGGACACATTAAAGGGCCAATATTACATGTTTCTCAGGTATATACTGGGGATGTCGAAAAATGGTTTATTAGATTAAAAATTCTTCCATTTGATTAATTGAAAACATCCGTTTAAAACTTATTTCGGTGTAGTTTTGACTTTTCAGTAGAGGGCGCCGCTGCTCTCAGTCAGCAGAGCAGAGAGCAGCCTCCACGTGGGCAGCGTCATTATTAAACACGCAAATCTTGTTTAGTTTTATTTGCGACACAACAGTAATAATGGACACCAAACTCGAAGGAAAAGTACTGAAAGCTGTATCGGACCATCCAGCAGTATGACGCTTTAAACAAGAGAGCAGGACTTTAGAGAGAACGGTAAGCTAACTTTAGCTAACGTTAGCTTCTTCTTGTAAAGTTTAACAATGTGTGAAAGAAAAAAAAACTGTTCCAGTCGCTACAAAGAATTAACTTGAAGTTAATCTCATCTGTGCGACGTAACCAGTGAACCAATCAAATGAACTGTAGCTGATGTCAAATCAGCAGTCCAGCTAAGATAGAACCAGAGGGAATGTAAACAAACATTAATAATTTATACTGTCACGTCTTTCAGGGATATTTTATTATGTTTGTAATTTGTTTTTGAGTAAATCTTTCTCTTAAAATATTACCCTGTTTTTAAATGATATTTTTTCATCTTCAGGGTGGATTAAGTGTTTCACTTATTTTATTCTTTTCCAACTAGCAACCTAACAGATTCCTGTTTGTTATATTTTATAAATGTGCCCACGTTTAATAATGTGTGAGAAATCTACAATTTTCAGTTCATTCAGTCAGTGTTTAACACAGCTGGCACAATGAATTGTTAAAATAATACTGTACTTTTTTTAATTTAGCATGTAAAAAATTATCCCTTCAGAAAGACAATTAATCATTAGTTGATCGATAAAATAAATCAACTTTAGATTAATTCACTAATCGATAACTTGCATCCCTAGTATATAGTTTAATTCTATACCGTAATAAAGTAACATGCACAGGCCTTGTATAAAAACAGATCAGTTGTGTCCGACTGATAAAAAGCTCGCAATGTAAATAATAATAATGTTGAATTCAATCCCTGTGAAAAGTTGAAAACCTGTTTTTGATAAAGTTTTTTCAACTTTTCAGGAAGAATCAAATAAGAGGATTAATGTAGCTATAAATTTGAATATGACTTATTAAACAGCTTTATGTAATCATGTTTTAGTGGATTTTTTCATAACTTTTTTTGAAAATTGAGTGTTACAGTTCAGAATCACAGAGTCCAGTTTGTTATAAGTTTTTTTTATAAAAAAAAGGTAAAAATTCTTCAGAAAGCTGGAAATTAGATATTAGGCAGAATAAAAATCTTATCCAAATACTAGTCTTTTAATACTAGTTTTTTTTCTTTTATTTATCTTTCTTTATTCTATCTCACCCTCTCCTGTATTGAGCTGCAGTAATGTGCAAATTTCCCCACTGAGGGATCAGTAAAATCTTATCTTATCTTATCTTATCTTATCTTATCTTATCTTATCTTATCTTATCTTATCTTATCTTATCTTAGTCAGTCATAAAAATGTCATTCTTTTCTTCAAATCTAAATAAACTCTTTAAAATAATTTTTGACCTCGGTGCAGCCTTTTGTTTTATCAGCCCGTGTCCTCCTAACGCTCCCTCTTCGTTGTCCTCCTGATCTAACACGTGCACGTCCTCCTGCGTCTCTGCCTTCAGAACACGTACACCAATGCAGACAAGCTGCTGGAGGCGGCCGAGCAGCTGGCCCAGACGGGAGAGTGCGACCCGGAGGAGATCTACCAGGCTGCTCACCAGCTCGAAGACCGGATCCAGGACTTCGTGCGTCGCGTGGAGCAGCGCAAAGTCCTCCTGGACATGTCTGTGGCCTTCCACACGCACGTCAAAGAGGTGGGCAGTGGGGAGTGGAGGGGGTGACGTAACTCTGGAGAGGACGGTGGGCCGTGTGCTCGTGTGGATGAGAGCTGTCCACAGACACATCCAGCATTGGGGATTAATCACAGATAACATCAAGTGTTCTGCAGATTTTTATATTTATTCCAAGCACTCAAACATTTCTCAAACTGGGGGTGTTCTTTTGGTGGTTTAGAGTGGGAACATAAGTGCACCTAGGTGGCTAGAACTACACAGTTCAGCTTGGAGATAACAGTTAGTACAAAAACTACTTCAGTTATCAAACACACTGATGTGACCCAGCTGTTAGAATGACCGTTTCCTGTCCTTTCTCCCCAGCTGTGGACGTGGCTAGAGGAGCTGCAGAAGGAGCTGCTGGACGACGTTTACGCTGAGTCTGTGGAGGCCGTCCAGGATCTGATCAAACGCTTCGGCCAGCAGCAGCAGACCACGCTGCAGGTCACCGTCAATGTCATCAAGGAGGGGGAGGACCTCATCCAGCAGCTCAGGTACGGATATATTTTATCATTTTAAATGTATTTTAACACCTGGCATAAGTACTTCAGGGTCACAATCAGTACTTCTACAACTGTTTGAAGCCATAATTCTTAGTTTTTACTGTGTGGATTATTTTATTAGACAAGTAAAATGAGTCATTTTAGCTTTTTTTGCAGTGAAAAGTCTGTAGATTGGAAAAGCAGGTTAATTTTTTCAGTTGTATTAACATACATCATTAACGTCCCCTCAGCTACCAGTAAACACGTTACAAATTAACAATATTTACCTGAGAGGTGTTAAATGTATGGATACAAGACGGCTAAAATTCAAAAGTTGGTCCAAGCCGAGGGTCACATTCTGTCAGTATTTATTGAATATACTATATGTTATATAAGAAATTATTCTTATAGAAATACACATGATCTCTTCCATATTGTGTTTCATGTAGAATTTAGGTTAGCCTAAAATTGGGAACCACTCACCTGTGTTTGAGAGGTCCAAGGTTATAAAAGTTTTGGATTTTCCATTATAGTTTTGTTTTATTTTATTGTGACTTTTTTCTTTTACTTCAGTTTTAATTATTTTTTTACAGTGGATTTGCTAGTTTTTATTAGTTATTATTGCATTTTTAATGCTTAGTTTTAGTTTAGTTTTTATTAGTTCTAGCTAGGGATGGGCGATATGGACTAAAAAATTTATCACGATAATTCATAGGTTTTATCACG